TGTTCTGTAAATAGTTGTTATAGTTGTTCATACCATGAACGGAACAAATCTGAATGAAATGAAATACTGTGTTGTGCATTAGCATGATGTGGGGGGGCAGCTACCTGTTTGGCCTTGGCGCCCCCGACAGGTGTTGTGATGTCACTGCGGGATGTTCGTGGGGGCGGAGCCTGAAGGAAGGTGCTGCAGGCGGGGCAGTAGGAGGCGTTCGGGGGGGCACTCGCTCCACAGCGCCAACACCACACACAACTGACTGCATGACCCTGCAAACACACACACACTATATCTCCCACAATGCTTCACTCTCAGAACTAGCTTAGCACTATGACTTATGTACAGTCCTCTCCAAAACTATTGGAATTATTATTATTATGTTATTGCAAGCAAACGGTTTGCAACTAAATGGATTATTATTCCCGTTTCACACTGTTTTAAGTTTCTGTTCATATACTTTTGCTCACCTAAAATGTGGTGTTCAATTCTTTGACAAATCTAGATGTAAATACCTGGTGTTATAAGCTGAAATACTGACCTCTTGTCTCATATTCATCTTTTGATGTCAAACCCAATGTTTTCAGTGTACAGCCAAAATAAAGCAATTGGCCTCGCTGTTCCAATAGTTTTAGAGTATGTAAAAGATATGTGATTTAAGAGTCTTTTCACCTTGGAGCCGCACCAGTCGCAGAATCTGGCGTCAGAATGGTTCAAACGTTTACACCGAGAGCAGCTCAACATCCTGCCAGAGGGGGCGCTGCTGCCCACACACACCGTCTGCAACACAGCAGGTTAAACTTAATTACAATAAACTCATTAAAGGTGAACAGGAGTCCCTCCGTCACTGAGAGCATGAACCCCGAGTCACTGAGAGCATGAACCCTGAGTCACTGAGAGCATGAACCCTGAGTCACTGAGAGCATGAACCCCGAGTCACTGAGAGCATGAACCCAGAGTCACTGAGAGCATGAACCCTGAGTCACTGAGAGCATGAACCCTGAGTCACTGAGAGCATGAACCCTGAGTCACTGAGAGCATGAACCCCGAGTCACTGAGAGTATGAACCCCGAGTCACTGAGAGCATGAACCCTGAGTCACTGAGAACATGAACCCTGAGTCACTGAGAGCATGAACCCTGAGTCACTGAGAGCATGAACCCCGAGTCACTGAGAGCACGAACCCTGAGTCACTGAGAGCATGAACCCTGAGTCACTGAGAGCATGAACCCTGAGTCACTGAGAACATGAACCCTGAGTCACTGAGAGCATGAACCCTGAGTCACTGAGAGCATGAACCCTGAGTCACTGAGAGTATGAACCCCGAGTCACTGAGAGCATGAACCCTGAGTCACTGAGAGTATGAACCCCGAGTCACTGAGAGCATGAACCCCGAGTCACTGAGAGCATGAACCCCGAGTCACTGAGAGCACGAACCCTGAGTCACTGAGAGCATGAACCCTGAGTCACTGAGAGCACACACACACACACACAGACACACACACATGAACCCTGAGTCACTGAGAGCACGAACCCCGAGTCACTGAGAGCACACACACACACACACAGACACACACACATGAACCCCGAGTCACTGAGAGCATGAACCCTGAGTCACAGAGCATGAACCCTGAGTCACTGAGAGTATGAACCCTGAGTCACTGAGAGCATGAACCCCGAGTCACTGAGAGCATGAACCCCGAGTCACTGAGAGTATGAACCCTGAGTCACTGAGAGTATGAACCCCGAGTCACTGAGAGCACGAACCCCGAGTCACTGAGAGCACGAACCCAGAGTCACTGAGAGCACGAACCCCGAGTCACTGAGAGCATGAACCCCGAGTCACTGAGAGTATGAACCCTGAGTCACTGAGAGCATGAACCCTGAGTCACTGAGAGTATGAACCCCGAGTCACTGAGAGCATGAACCCTGAGTCACTGAGAGCATGAACCCTGAGTCACTGAGAGCACGAACCCCGAGTCCCTGAGAGCACGAACCCAGAGTCACTGAGAGCATGAACCCTGAGTCACTGAGAGCATGAACCCCGAGTCACTGAGAGCACGAACCCCGAGTCACTGAGAGCATGAACCCCGAGTCACTGAGAGCATGAACCCCGAGTCACTGAGAGCATGAACCCCGAGTCACTGAGAGCACGAACCCCGAGTCACTGAGAGCATGAACCCTGAGTCACTGAGAGTATGAACCCTGAGTCACTGAGAGCATGAACCCCGAGTCACTGAGAGTATGAACCCTGAGTCACTGAGAGCATGAACCCTGAGTCACTGAGAGCATGAACCCTGAGTCACTGAGAGTATGAACCCTGAGTCACTGAGAGCATGAACCCCGAGTCACTGAGAGTATGAACCCTGAGTCACTGAGAGCACGAACCCCGAGTCACTGAGAGCATGAACCCTGAGTCACTGAGAGTATGAACCCTGAGTCACTGAGAGCACGAACCCAGAGTCACTGAGAGCACGAACCCCGAGTCACTGAGAGCACGAACCCCGAGTCACTGAGAGCATGAACCCTGAGTCACTGAGAGTATGAACCCCGAGTCACTGAGAGTATGAACCCTGAGTCACTGAGAGCATGAACCCTGAGTCACTGAGAGCACGAACCCCGAGTCACTGAGAGCATGAACCCCGAGTCACTGAGAGTATGAACCCTGAGTCACTGAGAGCACGAACCCCGAGTCACTGAGAGCATGAACCCCGAGTCACTGAGAGCATGAACCCCGAGTCACTGAGAGCATGAACCCTGAGTCACTGAGAGTATGAACCCTGAGTCACTGAGAGTATGAACCCTGAGTCACTGAGAGCATGAACCCTGAGTCACTGAGAGCACGAACCCTGAGTCACTGAGAGCATGAACCCTGAGTCACTGAGAGCATGAACCCCGAGTCACTGAGAGCATGAACCCCTGAGTCACTGAGAGCATGAACCCCGAGTCACTGAGAGCACACACACACACACACAGACACACACACATGAACCCCGAGTCACTGAGAGCATGAACCCTGAGTCACTGAGAGCACGAACCCCCGAGTCACTGAGAGCACACACACAGACACACACAGACACACACACATGAACCCTGAGTCACTGAGAGCACGAACCCCGAGTCACTGAGAGCACACACACACACACACAGACACACACACATGAACCCCGAGTCACTGAGAGCATGAACCCTGAGTCACTGAGAGCACGAACCCCGAGTCACTGAGAGCACACACACACACACACAGACACACACACATGAACCCCGAGTCACTGAGAGTATGAACCCTGAGTCACTGAGAGCATGAACCCTGAGTCACTGAGAGCACACACACACACACACAGACACAGACACACACACATGAACCCCGAGTCACTGAGAGTATGAACCCTGAGTCACTGAGAGCATGAACCCTGAGTCACTGAGAGCACACACACACACACACAGACACACACACATGAACCCCGAGTCACTGAGAGTATGAACCCTGAGTCACTGAGAGTATGAACCCTGAGTCACTGAGAGCATGAACCCTGAGTCACTGAGAGCATGAACCCTGAGTCACTGAGAGCATGAACCCTGAGTCACTGAGAGCATGAACCCTGAGTCACTGAGAGCATGAACCCTGAGTCACTGAGAGCATGAACCCTGAGTCACTGAGAGTATGAACCCTGAGTCACTGAGAGCATGAACCCTGAGTCACTGAGAGCATGAACCCTGAGTCACTGAGAGCATGAACCCCGAGTCACTGAGAGCATGAACCCCGAGTCACTGAGAGCATGAACCCTGAGTCACTGAGAGTATGAACCCCGAGTCACTGAGAGCATGAACCCCGAGTCACTGAGAGCATGAACCCCGAGTCACTGAGAGCATGAACCCTGAGTCACTGAGAGCATGAACCCTGAGTCACTGAGAGTATGAACCCTGAGTCACTGAGAGCATGAACCCTGAGTCACTGAGAGTATGAACCCTGAGTCACTGAGAGCATGAACCCTGAGTCACTGAGAGCATGAACCCTGAGTCACTGAGAGTATGAACCCTGAGTCACTGAGAGTATGAACCCTGAGTCACTGAGAGCACGAACCCCGAGTCACTGAGAGCACGAACCCCGAGTCACTGAGAGCACGAACCCTGAGTCACTGAGAGCACACACACACACACACAGACACACACACATGAACCCTGAGTCACTGAGAGCATGAACCCCGAGTCACTGAGAGCATGAACCCTGAGTCACTGAGAGCACACACACACACACACAGACACACACACATGAACCCTGAGTCACTGAGAGCACGAACCCCGAGTCACTGAGAGCACACACACACACACACACAGACACACACACATGAACCCCGAGTCACTGAGAGCATGAACCCTGAGTCACTGAGAGCACGAACCCCCGAGTCACTGAGAGCATGAACCCCGAGTCACTGAGAGCCCACACACACACACACACAGACACACACACACACATGAACCCCGAGTCACTGAGAGCATGAACCCTGAGTCACTGAGAGCACGAACCCTGAGTCACTGAGAGTATGAACCCTGAGTCACTGAGAACATGAACCCTGAGTCACTGAGAGCATGAACCCTGAGTCACTGAGAGCATGAACCCTGAGTCACTGAGAACATGAACCCCGAGTCACTGAGAGCACACACACACACACATGAACCCGAGTCACTGAGAGCATGAACCCTGAGTCACTGAGAGCACGAACCCTGAGTCACTGAGAGTATGAACCCTGAGTCACTGAGAGCATGAACCCTGAGTCACTGAGAGCATGAACCCTGAGTCACTGAGAACATGAACCCTGAGTCACTGAGAGCATGAACCCTGAGTCACTGAGAGCATGAACCCCGAGTCACTGAGAGCATGAACCCCGAGTCACTGAGAGCATGAACCCCGAGTCACTGAGAGCATGAACCCCGAGTCACTGAGAGCATGAACCCCGAGTCACTGAGAGCATGAACCCTGAGTCACTGAGAGCATGAACCCCGAGTCACTGAGAGCATGAACCCCGAGTCACTGAGAGCATGAACCCTGAGTCACTGAGAGCATGAACCCTGAGTCACTGAGAGCATGAACCCTGAGTCACTGAGAGTATGAACCCTGAGTCACTGAGAGCATGAACCCCGAGTCACTGAGAGCATGAACCCCGAGTCACTGAGAGTATGAACCCTGAGTCACTGAGAGCATGAACCCCGAGTCACTGAGAGCATGAACCCTGAGTCACTGAGAACATGAACCCCGAGTCACTGAGAGCATGAACCCTGAGTCACTGAGAGCATGAACCCTGAGTCACTGAGAGCATGAACCCTGAGTCACTGAGAGCATGAACCCCGAGTCACTGAGAGCATGAACCCCGAGTCACTGAGAACATGAACCCCGAGTCACTGAGAGCATGAACCCTGAGTCACTGAGAGCATGAACCCCGAGTCACTGAGAGCATGAACCCCGAGTCACTGAGAACATGAACCCCGAGTCACTGAGAGCATGAACCCTGAGTCACTGAGAGTATGAACCCCGAGTCACTGAGAGTATGAACCCCGAGTCACTGAGAGCATGAACCCTGAGTCACTGAGAGCATGAACCCTGAGTCACTGAGAGCATGAACCCTGAGTCACTGAGAGTATGAACCCTGAGTCACTGAGAGCATGAACCCTGAGTCACTGAGAGTATGAACCCTGAGTCACTGAGAGTATGAACCCTGAGTCACTGAGAGCATGAACCCTGAGTCACTGAGAGTATGAACCCTGAGTCACTGAGAGTATGAA